TCCTAACTGGTGTGAGGTGATACCTCATTGTGGTTTTAATTTGCATTTCCCTGATGATGATTGATGTGGAGCATCCTGTCATGTGCCTGTTGGTCATCTGAATTTCTTCTTTGGAGAAGTGTGTTCAGCTCCTCTGCCCATTTTTTAATCAAGTTATTTGCTTTTGGGTTTCGAGGCATGTGAGCTCTTTATATATTTTAGATGTTCTTCAAAGTATTTTATATTTTTTGATACTATAAATGGAATTATTTAAATTTGTTTATTTTTCAGCTATTTGTGACTAGTATATATAAGATGGAGTTGATTTTTGTGTATTGACTTGTTCCCACAATATTTGTAAATTCACTTTTTTGTTCTGGTTTTGTTGTAGATTCCTGAGGATTTTATTTGGACCACAATTAAAAAACTTTTGCTTCTTCTAGTCCATTCTGTATCACTTGTACTTCTCTCTCTTGTCTTACTGTACTGGCTGAGACTCAGAGTGATCCTGATCTTAGGGAGAAAGTGTGCCAGTCTTTCACCATTGAGTGTGATGAAGTTGTGTTCTTCGTATATTGATGAATTTGGTTCATTAATATTTTGTTGAGAATATTTTTCATATATGTTTCTGAAAAACACTGGTCTATAATTTTATTTTCTCATAAATCTTTGTTAAGTTTTGGTACAAGGGTTGAGAAGTATTCCCTCCTGTTTTCTGAATGGGTTTGCATAATTTCTTCCAAACATTTCCTTGTCTCTCTGAAAGAATTGACCACTGAAAGTCTTCAGGTTTGTAGTTTCTTTATGCAAGTTTTGAATTATTATTGATTCACATTCTTTAATGGATTAAGCTATACAGATACCCTGTTTCTTAAGTCTTTTTTGGTAAGTCATTTTAGCATTTTGTTGTAGGAATTTGTATTTTATCTACATTCTTGAATTTATAATGCTGTTCATAATCTCTTATCCTTTTATTATGTTTGATACTACAGTGAAATCTCCACTTTCATTCCTGATACTGTAATTTGTTCTTTGTCCCTCTATGTTCTTTCTACAGATTTATCGACTTTTTCACATGCTATTCTTAGGTACATAAAATGCACAAATCTTAGTATACAGCTTGATGAATTTTTGCTTGTGTATATTCTCGTCTAACCGTTGCCCAGATGAAGATAATCAAACATTAGTTTTGTTTGTCCCTCACCTATTTCACTCACCTCCCAACCCCCCTCCTCTGTGGCAACCGCCAGTGTGTTCCCTGTAACCGAGTGTGTTGCTGTTGTCTTTGTTAATCTGTCTTGTGAAATCATACAGTATTTGTCTTCTTTCTCTTACTTCATTTATCATAATTCTTCAGGTCTGTTCCATGCTTTTGCAAATAGCAAGATCTCATTCCTTTTTATGGCTGGGTAATATTACATTGTATATATGCACCACATCATCTTTATCCATTCATCTACTGATAGGATACTTGGGTTGCTTCTATAGCTTGGCTATTGTAAATAATACTGTGATAAACATAGGAATGCGTATATGTTTTCTAATTAGTGATTTTGTTTTCTTCGGGTCTATTCCCGAAGTGAAATTGGTGGATCTTATGGTACTTCTATTTTTAGTTTTTTGAGAGACCTCCATACTGCTTTGCATAGTGGATATGGCAATTTGCAGTCCCACCAACAGTGTATGGAAGGTTCCCTTTTCTCTGCATCCTCACCAACACCTGTTATTTCTTGTCTTGTTGGTGTTAGCAGTTGTGACAGTGTGAGGTGACATTTCATTGTGGTTTGGATTTGCATTTCCCTGATAATGATGTTGAGCACCTCTTGTGTCAGCTGTGTGTTTGTGTATCCTTGGGAAAATGTCTCTTCAGGTCCTCTGCCCATTTTTTAATCTAATTACTTGGGGCTTTTTTGGTATTCAGTTGTGTGTTCTTTATATATTTTGGATGCTAGCCCCTTATTGGATAAATCATTTGTAAATATATTCTCCTATACAGTAGGTTGCCTTTTTGTTTTATGTAGTCTTACTTGTTTATGATTTTGCTTTTTCCCTTGCCTGGGGGAGACATATCCAGAAAAAAATTACTAATACTGACGTTCAAGAGTGTGCTGCTTATATTTCTTTTGGGAGTGCTATGGTTTCAGGTCTTGTATTTAGGCCTTTAATCCATTTTGAGTTTATTTTTGTGTATGGTGTAAGGCAGTATGTAGTTGCCAATTTTCCAAATACCATTTATTGAAAAGACTGTCTTTTTCCCATTGTATTTTCTTGCCTCCTTTGTCAAATATTAATTGACCGTATAGGTATGGGCTTATTTCCAGGATCTCTATTTTGTTCTATTTGTCTATGGGTCTGTTCTTTTGCCAGTACCATACCATTTTGATTACTGTAGTAGTAAATTTTGAAGTGAGAGAGTGTGATACCCCCAGCTTTGTTCCTCTTTCTCAACATTGCTTTGGCTTTTTAGTTTGTTTTGTGGTTCCATACAAATTTAGGATTTTTTGCTCTAGTTCTATGAAAAATGTCATTTATATTTTGATTGAGATTGCATTGAATCTGTAGATTGCTTTGGGCAGCATGGCCATTTTAACAATATTAATTCTTATTCTTCATGGAATAGCTTTCCATTTATTTGTTCAGTTTCTTTTATTGGTGTCTTACAGTTTTCTAAGTACAGGTCTTTTCACTTCTTCAGCTAGGTTCCTAGGTATTTATTCTTTTTGATGCTATTATAAATAAGTTGATTTCTTAGTTTTTCTTTAATTTAGGTCATTTTTTGTATATATAGAAATACAACAGATTTCTGTATATTGATGTTTGTTTCCTGCAGCTTTATTGAATTCTTGTGTTAATTCTAAGTTTCTTGGTGGAGTCTTTAGGGTTTTCTGTGTACAATATCATGTCATCTACAAATAGTGATAGTTTAACTTTTTCCGTACCTATTTGGATGTCTTATGTTTTTTATTTGTCTGATCACCATGCCTAGGCCTTCCAGCACTATGTTGAATAAAAGTGGGGAGATTGGGTGTCCTTGTCTTGTTCCTGATCTTAGAGAAAAAGCTGTCCAGCTTTTCACCACTAAGTATGATGTTAGAGTATCATAAATGGCCTTTATTGTGTTGAGATATGTCCCCCTGTGCCCACTTTGTTGAGAGTTTTTGTCATGAATGGATGCTGAATTTTGTCAAATGCTTCTTCATCATCTATTTAGATCATACAGTTTTTATCTCTCATTTTTAAACAATGGTGTATCACATTGATTGATTTGCAGATTTTGAGCCATAACTATGCACCCCAGGAATAAATCCTACTTGGTTCTTGGTGAATGATCCTTTCAGTGAATTTTTTAATTTGCTGAATTTTTAAATTCAGTTTGCTGATATTTTATTCAGGATTATTGCATCTATGTTCATTAGAGATACTGCTCTGTCATTTTCTTTGTTGTGGCATCTTTGTTTTTGGTATCAAGATGGTGTTCTCATAGAATGAACTTGGAATCTTTTCTTCCTCTTTAATTTTTTGAATTCATTTGGGAAGGATAGGTATTGATACTCCTTTATATGTTTGGTAGAATTCTTCTGTGAAGCCATCTGGTCCTGAACTTTTTTGTTGGAAATTTTTTGATTAACTCTTTAATTTTATAACTAGTAATCCATCTGTTCAGATTTTCTGTCTCTTGCAGGTTCAGTCTTAGGAGATTACATTGTTTATAGGAATTTATCTATTTCTTACAGGTTTTCTAATTTGTTAGCATGTAATTTTCATAGTAATCTCTTAAAATTGTATTTCTGTGGTGTTTTCAGATCTACTCTGGTGTTAATGCTCATTCTGCCTGCTATATCATTTTCTATCCTTTTACTGTTTGTATATTTAAATTGTCTTATATATGATATAGTTGGTCTTGCTTTTTTTTTTTCCACTCAGTTGACAATTTCTGCCTTTTACTGGAAATGTTTAGTCCATTTACATTTAATGCAGTTACTGATATCTTTGGTTTTCTGTTTGTTCCACTAGGGTTTTCCTTTAGTGTACAACTCATTAGCTTCTAGTATATTCACAAATTGTGTAATCATCACTACTATCTAATACTAGAACATTTTTATCACCTCCCAAAAGACACCTCATACTCATTGACATACACTTCCCATTTCTTCCAATCACCAGTCCCAGGCAACTACTGATCTGCTTCCTAATTCTGTATTTTTTACTCTTCTAGGTACCTCTTTTCAGGGAAATCATATGTCCTTTTTGTGTCTGGCTTCTTTCACTTAGCATAATATTTTCAAGGTTCACCTACATTGCAACTTGAATCAAGCACTTCATTCCATTTTATGGCCAAAAAATATTCTGTTGGGTAGGTAATACATTTTATAAAGTTTCTTCTCTCTTTGAAAAACAAAAGATTTAATTTCTTATTTGCCTAATGCCCTCTAATTTTTTTTCCTCCAATATTTCCTGTGACTTTTTCTACAAATATAATTACCATGGATTTTAAGTCAACATGGGAACATGCCTCTAAAAATTGTATTGGCACATAATTCCTTTAGAGCTCTTTCTGCTTAGTGAGAAAACAACTTTTAAGTCAAGCATTAGGTGAAATTATATCTAGATTCTTTAATAGTTGAGATACAGAATAACCGTCTGATAATTAAACAGCACTTTATTAATATACAAGGCATATTTAGGTACTAATCAAAATGCAGCTTTAAATTGCCAAACTCCAAAACAGAAAAAATTTAAGTTGCCATCAAACTGTCATAAATGTGTCCTATAGAAAAACTGTCTTCAAAATTTAGAATATGGTATTTTGTAACATGCCCTGAAGTTCATGTCTGACAATATAAAATTACAGTTGCATACTGGATTAACTGCTCATGCTCTGGAGAAGTTTTTTCCACCTTTGCATCTCAACCTAAAATATTAGGCTAGATTGACACTGAGTTTCTTCTCTGCCTTCTAAGCTGTGGACCTATTTTGAACTGAATATTAAAGAATTTTTGTCTTTGGGGCCATTTGGTCAGGCCTCAAACATTCCACAGCTACTTGGAGGACATCATCAACTACCGCTGGGAGCTTGAAGAAGGCAAGCCCAACCCTCTGAGAGAAGCCAGTTTCCAAGACCTGCCTCTTCGCACTCGTGTGGAGATCCTGCACCGCCTCTGTGATTATCGGCTAGATGCAGATGATGTCTTCGATCTTCTCAAGGTGCTTAACTGACAAGCCCTTTCCCTAGAGCAAGAAAAGCTGGTGATCTGGACATAAAAATCTGAAGATATTAGGAGAAGTCAGATTTTGGCTTTTGTGTTACTAGTCTTGGGACACTTAAACATACCAGTATATATAAAACCATGAGCACTGTAGCCAAGGGAATACAGACATATATGACTGCATATTGTTTTTGTTTAATTTCTAGGCTGGTTTTGTCTTCCTTTACATGCACTAAGTCCCAGCTGACACAGGAATAGTCAGAGGCACCTATTTGTTCTTCCTGTCATTAGCCATAATTGGAACTCAATTATCCACAGAATTTTTTCTCATGGTCTAAAATTTGATTTAGCTTAATTGAAATATTTAAGGAAAGCTCCAAGGATTTTAAACCATATATGAAAGTGAAGTACACTCCTACTGTACATATCCATGCACATGTCAAAAGTTATGTTGGAGAGCGGAGGTGTAGTTACCTCTCCTCTCCTTATTCTGTTATCTTTTGTTATCTATTGAGAAGTCTGTCTCAGAGGGAGGGCAGGGGCTCTTGCTCCTCTCTCACAGGGAGGTCAGTTTCTAATCCTGTTTGGTCAGAAATGATTAAATGTGTTGATGACTTCTCAGTTCAGCACAGCTCATGACACAGTATAAAAGTCATTGTGCAGTTGAGTCCAGTGTTTGCTGACTCAAGGACTTCAATAGCAGTGGCAGTACAAGACCCTGGGATAAAGTGAGAAGCACATTGCAGGGTCCCATCTGGAGTAAGAGGTTGCTGGAGGACCTGTCCTGCTCTCCAGCTATAGTAGAGGATCCTGTGGGACAAAGCATTCACAACATTGGATTCTCCTCTATTGTAATTGTCTTTCCTTGATGGGCACTCACATGACCAGTCCAGACCAGATAGATAATACACTTACCAAACTCCTTTTAGTTTCTCTTTTTGGTGAAATGGGACAGTGATGGGTATGGGAAACATTTGAAATGTTTCCATATCCTGTTCTGCAAAGAAGGTAACATCTTCTCACTTTATCTGTGTTTGATTGCCCTAATTGAAAATCACGTAAGATGCTGGAACATTCTTAAATGTCAGAGATAAATGAGTATAAACTTTAAATCCTCACTTTCATTTTCTCCTATTTTGTCTTGCTCCCCATCCCCATTTCTCCACACCTTTTTTCCCTAGGGTCTGGATGCAGACAGTCTCCGAGTGGAACCACTGGGTGAAGATAATTCCGGGGCGCTCTACTGGTATTTCTACGGAACGCGAATGTACAAGGAGGACCCAGTGCAGGGAGAATCCCGTGGGGAACCCTCTCTGAGCAGGTATATTGTCTGAGGTCTGTGATGGCTACTGCACAAAAGTTATGAGTATCAAATATATCAGAATTTTACAGCACAAAATTGTTTTTCATATGAAGGAATTAGCTGTAACAACATGCCTGCAAAGAGATAACAAGGAGTTATTTCATACAAAAGTAAAAAAGAATTAATTTTGTAGTCTTCTGCTACCAGAGTGGTGAAAGATGTCACCGTGATAGGAGGGAGGTTCCAAGAGTACCAGTCCCCCCTCACCATGGACTGTGCCGTACGGCAGGGCTTTTTAGCAGCACTATCATTTCACTGCAACCGTTTTCCTCTCATAATCAATTCTTGAGGACTCCTTTTGTCTACTGGAACTGATCTGCTCTATCAGTACAGGACCAGAATTCTGGACCTTACAGAATGCCTGAAATATAAGCCTTACCAAATTCTTCCTAAATGAGGAAAATACATCCTTTCCATAGTGGCCCAGTACAGTGCTAATCTTGTTCATTTGAACTTTCTTATTACTGGGAGCAGTACTCACTATTAAGAAAGTGTTAGGTCTTCCTCAGGTTTTAATGTATGTAAATTGTCTGTTGTAATGCAATCTATTGCATTGTAAAATGTCCATTTTTCCTTGTTCCATATTCTAATAAAGGAAGACAGGAAGTTGTCCTGTTCCTTCCTCGTGACTGCTGCATTTAAACATTTAATCCTTAGTGACCTCATGGCCAGAAAATTACTAACTTAGAAATCATGTAACATGTCAATCCTCTGGCAGAACATTTTATTTAATAAACTTTCATTTCTTAGGGTAAGTGAAGGACAGAAGAATGTCTCAAGTGTTCCTGGGAAAACAGGAAAAAGAAGAGGGAGACCCCCAAAACGGAAGAAACTACAAGAGGAGATTATTGGGAGGTAAGACGTTGTTAGTCTGTGATCATCATTTGCTTTGTTCCTTCACCCTGATTTTCACTCATGCCATGGGAAGAATATGAACCTAGATCATGGAGTCCTAGATCAGAATCCTCATAAATTATTGAATATACACCAGGGAACCAGAAAGCACTGGCTACTTGACCTCTACTAGATTGCCTATCCTCTGCACACCCGTAGTGTCAGTGGATAGCGGGTGTACTGACAGTAACAAGGATTGAATGGAAGAAAACAGTGATGATTGTTGACTAAGAGTCAACATTTTAATAGGATTCAGTATATCAGATAAGAGTTTAGAGCTAATTCTTTCCTATTGAGATTTTAGTGGCAAACAACATGCTTTATTTTGTTTAGAATATAGTTAGTTCCATGCAATAAAGAAAAGGTAGGATATTAAACATTTTTATAGTCTTTATTATTTAAATTTGGAAAAAAATAAAGATTATCTTTTAGGAAATTCTACTCGTAGTAAGTTTTCAGAATCTAACCTATACTGTATAAAAATACTTTTCCTTAAGGATCTTGAGTTAGGAAGTTAAGTCATACATAGTCTTAAAAATTCTAGTGACAGAGGACCAACCACTTCTTCCCATAATCTAAATGCTTGAAGTAGCTTGATTTTGCTGTGTTGCTTATTAACCACTAAGAAGTATTTCTAGGAATCAAATTATGGATAAATCAATTTGATTTTCTTTTATACTTAAGAATCAGTGTTTCACTTCACTTACCAGAAATTTGATGACAAATTAATAGCTTTCCTATCAGTGTTTGTGAGAAATGTCCTATAAATGTGTCCTGTACACACAATACCTGCTTCTGGATTTTGTTAGTGACCTATACCTGATTAAGTATTCAGAAAGCTGTTTAATTGTTGCTGCTTAGAAGGACATGGGGATGTATAAAGTGCCTTAGTGTTGGGAATATAGGATCATTTTAACATACATGAACTTGTGCTACCCTCTACTGGTGATTTTATTCTTTAGAGCTCTATATCCAAAACTGTATTTAAATATTTTTAAATTAAATAGAATCTAAAATTCGGTTTCTCATTCCTGCCAGCCACATTTCAGGTGCTTGGTAGCCACATGTAGTTCTTGGCTCCCGTATTTCATAGCAACAATGTAAAAATATCGCCATCCTCACAGAAGGTTGTGTGGAACAGCAGATCATTGAAAACAGACCAGATCCATGGAGAATGTCCTGTATGATTCAGGGATACCAATGACAGTGAGACTGAACACTATTGTGCTGACCACTTCTATTCTGTGTTTTATGACTTAATTCCCGATATCCTTATAAGGTAGACATTCTCAACAGCCCCATTGTACAGGCAAGTTCATTAACTTTCCCACAGTCATATGGTAAGTGGCAAGCCTGATTTCAGAGCCTAGGTTCTTAATGTCTACCTTATATGAGGTTGAATTAACTGTGCCTTATCTTCAGTGTAGCCCTGAGTCAAGGAGGAGGACATTGGAATCCCTGTAGTTCTTTTTTTCTTATCATTTAACTATTAACACTTACCTCCTGTTTGATTTTTAAAAACTGTTCTAAAAATTAAGTTTTCCTATGCATTGATACTATTACCATTACATTTGGTTCCTGTACACCAGTCCTTCTCTGAATCGACACACCTATATCCTGTGTTCATTTACTCAGTAGAATCATTCCACCTCCTGACCTTGCCCCCTGATGCACATACACATTCCTTGTATTAAGTTAATTGGGTCTACCTTATGGGGAAAGCACAGAATAATATTGGATATGTCTGTTTTAATTGGTGCCTCCTTTTCCTGTGTTTCAGTGAAAAGCCGGAAGAAAAGTCCTTGGCATCTGAGCCACAGACAAGAAATGGTAATGACCTTGGCTGGAGTTCAGAAAGGTTTAAGTAAATGTGATTGATTTATATTACGGCGGTGACTCTGTCATTTCCAGAGCACAGGAAGCAGTTAAGATTATTATGCCTCTCACCCTCATCATTTCTCCCCCTCACATATTACCCTGTGCTGTTTCTCCATGGGATAGGTTGCTGGAGGTGAGGAATAGGTCTCTTCACCTGTGCTCTGTTACCAGGGCTCAGTGTAGTAGACACCTGAATATTCGGATGAATGAGCAACTTGAAAGTGCTGTCTTCCTCATGTAAAATGCTACATAAGAGAGAGTATACTAGTTGCCCACACAGATTTCAGTTGTAATCCAAATTACATATAATTGGGGGAAGGTATCAGTTTGTAATACCTGAACATAAATGAAACAAGACTGCAAAAGCTCAAATTAAAACATTTGCAGGAAAAGTAAATAAATAGATTTAAGCTATTAAATCTATCTTATAAAGGTTGTGAATAGAGATAATAACTGGAAAGTCCAAAGTATTCATTATCAGCTTTAAAATTAAAAAGTAATAAATATAAGTCTTTTTTGTGATTCCCTGGTTTTGTTATGTGACCCAGGGTAAAAAGGAATTGAGAATAAATTGGAAAAAGGTCCTAGTGGGGTCTACTTAATGAACCTATCCCTTTCTTTTCTAGGGTCCCAAGGGCCAGGTCAAGGCACTTGGTGGCTCCTGTGCCAAACAGAAGAAGAATGGAGACAGGTCACAGAGAGTTTTCGGGAGAGGACCTCCCTTCGAGAACGGCAGCTCTATAAGCTCCTCAGTGAGGACTTCCTGCCTGAGATCTGCAACATGATTGCCCAGAAGGTGTGCAAACGGGTGATTCTTCCCCTCTGCATTAAGTATAAAGCTGCATTATTTAAGGATTATTCATAAGAGTTTTTGAATACCTTCCACTGTCTCCTGGAAGTGGTACAAGCCTTCTCCCATCTCATCTGGTTTGGGACCACATGCTGCGCACTCCTCTTCAACCTGCTGGTACAATATCCTCCCTACCCCAGGTGTCCTCAGTGCCCCCACCCCCAGCTCTTAACCTTGGCTTTTCACAGTCTGGGACCCAGTGTCTTGCTCCTGTAACATTACTCAGGAAAGGGCCCCTGAGCCCCAGGTGTGTCTCACCCTGTGCATTGGTTGCCCCTTTTTTGCGATCGTCCTACGGTCTGTCTCCTCCCACTAACAGTAAGCTCTGGGGTGTTTTAGGGTTTTTTACCCCAGTACCAACTCTTCTCCCCCAGCTCCACCTGTTCATCTGAGCTCTGTGCCACCTTCTTCAACCTCCTGGCAACTTACAGTTTAATAAACTTAACATCCTATGCTTTCATGCATATGTATCCTAATTCATGCTTTTTCAAACATCTTTTCCCTCTACTGCCCTACCCATTTCCAACTCTCAAAAGCTCCACTGAAAAGTCTTCATCTCTGTGAGCTGTACCCTGTTCCCCTCGTCTTAGAATTTCTTTCCTAATGTATTTCCTCATTCCTCATGAATTTGATTTTGAGTTTTAAGCCTTTTTGGATTAGGGACCCTGCCTTAACTCATCATTGTAACTCCCACAGCATCTAATGTAATGCCTTTTCTATAATGGATGCACAGAAATCAGTCACTTTGTTTATTTCATTTCAGTAATTCTAATATTTCTCATTGATTTTACATGTCATAAAGACCCATAAAATTTTGACCATCTGCCAATGAAACCTGAAGAGAAAGTATTTATAGATTATTGCTGCAGTACCTCCAGGGGAGTACAAAATGACAAATATATTGCTTAATTTATTGTGAATGCAGTGATATTTCTAACTTTTAAGCTGGTTAATGTTTTAAAAGGAAAAATCTGGAATGTCACCTTTATCTAATAGAAATGTATAAATAATACTTCAAGAATTACATTTTCATGAATGAACAATATACTTTGCATTTCTCTCATCAGTATACTTAATTCCATATACTATAATCGCACTTAGTTTTCTGATCAACACACTGTGATGATTTTTCCAGGAATTAAAATATATAATCTGATTTTCTTAAAGTAATTAAACAGATGATTTTATGACTCTACATGACCTTACATATGACTTTATTGTTATGACTAGTGATGACCCATAAATTTTCTATGAGGCATAAACCTAATCTGCTTAAACCTTTCATAATAGCTGCTTTTTTACTGCAGTAGTCTACCTAATAATTTTTGGATGGCAGAACTAAGGAAAACGACTGACAGGCCTAAAACTGATGGTTTTGATGCAAAAAATTTTAAGGGCTGATTATTTGCAAGAGTAGAAAAAAAAAGATAAATCTTAAATATAGTTCTCAAGAACCATGAAATTAGAAACGAAAAAAATAAGAGATTGGGTATTTTGAAAGATGGACAGCGCTCAGAATTTGTGCACCTCAGTGAAATGTGGTATTGATTACAAAAATAAGAGAATCTGCATTGTGCAAAAGAAAGTCTTAGCAGACCAGTAATTGGGGAGGATGTGCTGTCACAAAAAGATACCATCAAAAGCTCCAAAATCATTTGTGTTTTTTGACAAGTAAAATTTTCTAAAACGCTCTAAGAAAAGATAACTTCCACACATTTCAAAACTGAAGAAGGAAATGGGTAGCTGTCCTGTTCACTCAGCTATATTTTGGACCCCTATTTCTAATAAACACACATTCTTCATTCAGTAATATAAATGTCAAGTGCTTAATATTCATAAGTAAAAACCATGTCTTCACCATAAGAACACATAACCCATTGTAGCTCAGCCTAAATCTGTAACACTGGTAATAACTGTTTTGAAAGTTTCATCCAGTGTGATGGAACAAAAAGAAAGTGAGGGGCAAATTTTAGATTCTGTTTTGCCTGGAAGAATATGAGTCTGCTTAGAAAGTCTGGTAATCAGAACTTCGTAACTAGGTTTTCTGCATTAGAATCAACTGGTACATGAAGAACCTCAGACTCATTAGAGCTAGTATTGTTCATCTGCAGTCATGGAAGCTGTTTGTATAATTGTTACACATACTAATGTTTAAAAATAACAAAATAAATCCTGTTTACAGTAGCAAGAAAACAGAACTAGAACCTAACTAGAGTTGTGCAAAGCTGCAAAATGTTAGGTACATATTTTTAAAGTTTCATGTAAATATGTTAAGATCTCTCTATTCCTAGAAGAAAAGAATAGGATTAGCTATTAATATTCACCAAAATAAATGGATACTTATTGTAATCTTAGCCAAATGCAGCATAAGAAAAATTTCCCTTCAAAATAATAGGCAGACATAAATATTGTAAAGTAGAAGCCATAGGATCATGTCATATCATGTAAACCAGCGTATTAGCAGCATTATCAGGGGGCATTCATTTAATAGACGAGCTATAAAGGCAGTACAGATATACCAACTCTTCACAATCTTTGCTGAACTTGGCATTCAGCAATTAGGCTTACATGTTCATCAACAGCTAGTTGTAATATTTGCAAACTTCTTTGTCTATGTTGCACTTATTTCTATAATCCCATAAAATATGAAATCAATAAAATGTGAGCATAAGATTTTCTATAAAATGTTTTCATTAAAATCATTAAGCATGAGTTGTTTCTAAAAGTTGTCAAATTAGGGTAAAACAATAGAAGATAAAATGGGAAATTCTTAAGGTTTCTGCAGTTTGAATTGCATGTGTCCTTAACATCTCACTTTTGCTTAAAACAAAACTGGAGTGGCAAAAAAGGGTAAGAGGGTAATTTATATGAAAGAATTGAAGGAAACCCCTCTCAAGGGAGCCCTATATCATATGATTGCAAATGGCAAGTGCATTCATACATTAAGAAAATCAGTGCTCAAACTATGTATTTCTAAAATTCCTTTAACCAACATTTTAACCAACCATCTAATGATACTGGCCAAGAGGGATTTTGTTCTAATATGAAAATGCCTATAGGCCACATGTGATCATTGAAATATACATTAGTAGAACAGAATGTGGTGCTCACAGATAGACATAGTACATATTAAATACAGTATGTGAAAGAGGAACTAACAGCTGGGATAGTGGACAGGTTAACGTGCTGTAGTAGAAGTCATGAGCTTTTCTTTCAAACTCCTTTGAATTATGGTGCTGCCCTTTCCCTCTGCCCACATCAGAGTATCCAACAAAGTATTTAGCAATCAGTAGGCACTTGGTCTCTTCCATTGTTTATGGTGCTGGGTAATTGATGAGAAATCTTGGTAAAAAACTAATTACAAAATAGATTCAAGTCTAAAGGGAGTTAACACAGAGAGGATAAATATTCGGAGGTATGACAGCCCTCTAAATTTCAATGTAATAAAATAATCAGAAGGCCTGCTTTGATAATACAAAAGTTAAGCTTTTATGGTAAGATTTAAACAAAAGAGGTAGGCTAGTAAAAGTATTTGTTGCTAATGTTACGGTCAATCGTATTTAGACAGCTTTTCAATATTAGGTCTCAACAAAAATTAATTGACTAGGAAGTCTATAGGGAATTCACACAAAAGATGTCAGATAGTAAAGTATGTAGGGAAATAGGTTCACCTTCTGTATTGAGAACATCATTTTCCACACGAGTAACTTTTATCTGATTTGGCAAAGTTGGGAGTCAAACTGTTATTGGCCTTGTTTGCTACTAGCCTAGTAAACTGGCACAATCTCTTTGAAGGAGAATTCCATGGTAAGTTTCTACCTTTATGTAAAGGTGAAGCCTTTTTCCTATTGGGGTCTTGCAGTATATAAAGGAGTTTGCTCACACATATTTGAGGAACCTGCTGGGGTAGCTTTTGGGGAAAAGAAGGTCATGACACCCTTGACAATTGGGATTGTATCTGGCCTAAAGCCTAGTTCTAACAAAAGCTTTCTAAAGTACCTGTCTCATTATCTATTGCTGTTGCTCTGCAGCATATTCAAGTTGGGTAAACCACTCCTAACTGTCATTGAGTCATTTCCATCCTTTCTCTCTTTACCTCATTGATTCTTCAAATCTCAATGGTTTAAGTGGTGCCAAAACCAGCCTAGGTGATGATAACTGATATTAATGCCACAGAATTGCTCACTTGAACTGCAAAGTCCTTGCCTACCTCCCTTTAATAGTAGATTACAATGGTGAAGCCCTGGGGCTCAGCCCACAGAAGTTCCAAAACTTAGATTAGCCTTCAAAATAATTAACCCAACTTTAGAGAGTTTTCAAAACTTCTTCCTTGAAATTCCCTGTAGCAGTTGCCTGCAGTCGTCTTGCCTTTTCTCGGGACTCTATAATCTTCTCAGGCAAGCTCTCTGGTTCCTAGTTGCTGAGTCCTTTTTTCCTTGTCAGTCTTACTGCTTTTCTCCCCATCCTGGACAATCATTCTCAGTTCTCACTACTGCCACTGAACTACCTTTGGAAGGGGCGGGCTACCTACAGCTGCTTGGAATGCCCTCTTTCAGAGCCATTCCCTTCAAGCAGAGACAGTAAAGCATGGACATGGCTTTTCCTTAATAATTTGAAACAAAACATTTTTAAAAGATACTTAAATGGTCAAGTGAGTTTCTTGCCAGAGATAAAGATTGACACAGGAGACACTTGGGTATCTATAAGGGTATTTTTGTTGTTTTTGTTGTGTTTTTTTTTTTAAGAGAATATTTGGCTTAGTACCTTGTGGAATTGAATAGTCATTTTTACTGACTGTCCTGAGGATGCCTTGGGCCCTCATCTGAAGTAAAGCCATCAGCCATGGGCCTTCAAGGCCGCTCCTCCACTGGCAGCACCGGGAGCTGAGAACACCCTAATCTGTCTTCTCCTTTCTTGTCCTCACTTCTGACTATAGGGAAACCGTCCACAGCACACAAAGGCAGAGTTGCAGCCCAGGTGGATATCTAGCCACCTGTCCGTCAAATCCATCCAGCGAGAGGTGAGTCTGTGTGAGAGTAGAGAGAGAGGCGTTCTAAATGTTCAAAGGGTCCTTATGTTTGATTTCAGCTACCCCTTTATTCCTTCTTTATTCACCTTTACCTCAATGTTTAAATCTCAGACCTTTATGAAACATTCTTATATTTAAGATGTATTTTTACAAAGAAGGAATTATAAAAATAAGACATGAGGTCGCACTCTTTTGAGTCTCACAATCTCCTGGGATGATAGACGTCCCTGTTCGATGTGGGTGAGAATACTGAGTGCTGTCTCAGATGTCTATGTGATGGAAGTTCCAGAACGTGAGGATGGAAAGACCTAGTGCTGGGCAAAGAAACAAGCTTTGGAGAGGCAGAGCTGTATCTCACCTAAATCTTGTGGGATGGTGAAGAATCTGATGGTGGACAGTGGGGGTGGCGGGGGAATATACAGGAGTTACGTGAACAGAAGTACAGAGGCAGAATCAGATGTGATGTGGTCAGAGAACAGTGTGTATTTGGATGTGGCTGGCATATAAGATACGTTGTACTATATAGTGAAAGAAAATGCTGGGACACCAGATTTTAGGGTCCTCTGTCTATCATGCAGGGCAGTATTAAAGGAGATTATGGCATTAGGTCTTTGCATTAGGAATATACCTCTCTGGTCATGCTGTGTTAAGTGAGTTTGTAGAGAAACACTGGAAACTTAAAAATCAGTTAGCACTATGTTTCCAGCAGGAAATGGTAGAATCCCTGCTACTGGAAAGGGACATCAGGAGGACATTTCATTAGAGAATAACAGGCATGAGGGTCAAGCTGCAGGAGGCTGAGTAATGGCTAAAAGATGAGTTCTTACTGATTGTCATGCTTATTTGTCCAACCATGAAAAAGAGGACACAGGATTGAGGAAAGCTAAGGCAGTTTCCTTTTTTTTAATTGGAAATAATGCTTGGGTGTGAGATGTCCATGAATGAGAAGGGAATGGATGTAGCCGACTGGTAAAATGAAGTGCTTAAGAGGTAGCGCCTCCCCATGGAGTCAGATTGCTCCCATTTTTCCCAAGTAAAGATAGAAACTTTTGAGGAGGCAGGGAAATATTAGGAGATCACGTTGGATGTCCCTCTGTTCTCTTGACACACAGAGCATCAGGTAGGAATGGAAACACAATGTTCTATGAACAGAGAATACTTAAGGAACAACCAGGTATTAATAAAAGGGTTTTTTCCAAGCAGCATCTCAGAGCCAACTACAGGTATTTTTATTTTGTAACATAGTTTAGAGTAGTTAATACCTTTATCTAGCATCATCACACTGTAGGATGATGCCTATATTGACTGAGATTAAAGGATTAGTGAGGGGAATGAGGCCTGAGGTACCTAGGCTGCAGGTGGGGCCAGACTGGATGATGGGCGTCCAGTGGGGGAGTGAAATGAAGAAGTGAGAGGCTGCCACAGAGAACGTATCTACAAGCCATTTCTCTTCATCTTCACCGTTCGTGAGGGCACTGCAGGCACACCTCCAACCCTTCTTCTGCTCCCTCTTTTTTCCATTGTTTGCTAATCTAACTCCCAAGTCCAGACTTTAGTGCTGGCCACTTCTTATAGTCTCTCCACTTCACCCACTTAGTCTCCTTGTAGCATTATGATTCTCTGCATGTGTAAACAGTAGTCATAGAAAGTTTGCCCTCCTAGACAGTAGGTTAACTCGAGTCTGTTTTTGGCTGGCCTGTTGTCATATGGAGCCTCAAAGTAGTGTTTCCTGACTCTCACATTCATGAACTAAATATGCTGTTTTGAGCCCTGCAAAGGGAGAAGCTAATTTGTGAAATTTTATTTACTTCAGTATATTTGAATTTATCCTTTATCTCTTTTTTTCCAGCTCATAGATGTGTTCTTGCCAGGAGAAAAATTACTCAATATCTAATGACTGTTGAATTGGCAGTTCCTAATGACTGATTTCCATCTTCGAGGTCTAACGGTCCTTAGTTTGAAATGATCTTTGGTTGTTGGAGTCCAGCGGTAGTTCTGACTGCCTGGTTCATTCCCTCTGCTATATACTCTAGCATCTTAATGGTCGACACCTTTCTCCTGTTTGATGTTCCTGTTTGAGTCCTAAATGCTCAAATTTACATTTCAGATTGCATATAGTAATCTCAGTATAGGAGAAAAGTTCTTCATTGCTGTAAGCAAAAGCTTAGCTTCAAACACTAAAATTTCTTCCAGTCATTCTTGGCAGTTTTTCTTTTTTTAAATTCTGCTCTTTATTTTTAAATACAAGTAACTATAGTAGAGATCTGAATGTTTGTTATGGTTCCAAATATCCTGGAGAAAACCTTAATTGTGGCATGAATTTTGTGCTTCTGTTTGAACACCAGAAAAAAATCTTCAGGTCTTTATAGCCTTAGAGGCAGAGTTTCTGACCGATATTGGCCACTCAAGAGCCCAACTTTACTGCCTCGCAAAGTCTTAATTGTGACTCTGAGGGAAGAAATCGGCAAAGGAAGACTGACTCTCTGATCTCCGGGATTAAGGCAACAATGATTGTGTTTGTCAGAAAACTCTGGACATGCTAGGGAGGTCCTTGTGGTACAGTCTCAAGTGTGCTGTGAAAATTGACAGGGGTACCGGGGAGTCTGATAAACCCATTCTTGGGTGAGGGGGAGCAAGGAAGGGGCGTCCTGGGCGCTGCTTCAACCAGATACAATTTACTGTCCTTCACAGGGTTTCAAAGTGGTGTTAACCACTTAGTATCTCATTAAAATCCCTCCTTGATTCTATCAGGCCTCTCTTACCTATAAAGCATTTAAACATCACCCCACCCCATTTACAACCTTGTGGATAAAATGAAGGTTCCTGTGGCCAGGATTCTCACCCAGTCCCACCCAGATGGCTAGCTTACTACACATATGTGGGCAATATGTTGTTTACTCTGTATAAAGAGCTCTACCCAGTGCTCTGGGCCAGCACAGTGGCATGGCTGCAAGGCTGCAGGAGAGGAGAGCCGAAGCTGAAGTGGTGGCAGCGCCCAGGACAGAGGTCCAGAGGACGGCTGTGTGGGCAGAGAGGCCCAGACGCAGAGACCCGCTTGCTGCATGCAGACTCACTCTGAGTGGACAAGATTCTAGTGATTAACCTGCCACCGTGGGAATAAGGTTGGGTATAACCCTTTCACCCCAAGAACGTTCTCCTGTTATTTCTTTGGTCACATTGAATCCATAGTGAACTTTCCCAGGGCTCAAACCCATTGGCAAGACAAATTGGCCCCTTTTAAAGAATTGCAGTGTGAAACAGTTTTAAGATTTTTTCTCCTAACTCTTCAGTCTTTTTTTTTTTTTGCTTGTACCATTGGTTTTAAGATTTGGTTCTTAAAACCATTAATGTTTAAGCTATTTAAAGTCTAAAGTACCTACTGAAAGTACCCTCAGGGAACGAATCCCACCCGTTAGTGATGTTTTCATTAGCACACACGTGTTAAAAGACTCTTGGTCCTTAATAGATTTTTATTTTCAGGTGTGTATGATGCAATCTATATAAAATGTTGAGAATTCACATTAAATAAAACTCATCACGGTGAGAAAAAGTGGGGGCATGAAAGGTATAAGACAAAGAGGTATGCAGCTCACCATAGGTGTTTGCAAGTGACAAGGCAACACTGAGGGGGGGGGACATCTGGAGAAAATGACCAGAGAGCAGTTGGTGTAAAAACGGGTAGGGACAGAAATGCCTGGGGAAAGGGCCACAGTGGGCAGAGGCAGGCCAGGCAGCACAGTGCAGGTTCCGGGCACTCCTCACTCCCTCAACTTAGGAGACATTGGGGCACTCGGTTGCTTCTGTGTCTTCGCTGTTTGAGGTACTGCTGCAGTGAACATGGGGTCACAGATAACTTTTTGAGTTAGTGTTTGTTTCCTTTGGATAAATATGTAGAAGTGGAGTTACTGGATTGTTTGGTATTTCTATTTTTAATTTTTCAAGGATCCTCCATAATGTTTCCCACAGTTCCATTCCCACCAACATTTTCTCCACATCCTTGCCAACACTTGTGATTTGTCTTTTTGATGTAGCCATTCTGACTGGTGTCAGGTGGTATCTCATTGTGGTTTTGATTTGCATTTCCCTGATGAATGTGGAGCACCTTTCATGAACCTGGTGGCAGTGTGTGTAGGCCTTATGTGCTCAGCATAAATATTAGTGTATTTTAAAACAACTAATTAAGTACATATGACATGATTTCATTTGTGTGGAATATGCAGAGTAAATCCATAGAGACAATAGACAGGTGGTTGCCATGGGAGGGGAGAGTGGGATGGGGCCTGGCTGGTGAGTGGCAACAGCATTTTCTCTTGGAATGCTAGAAACACGGTGCAAACTCATAGAAGTGGTGGCTGCATGACACTGAATATAGTAAATGCCACTGAATTGTCCACCTCAAAATTGTCAATTTTATGTGAATTTCACCTCATTTTTTAAAAACGAGAGTAATCTTTATGCGCTTTTTCAAATGATGTAGAATGTCTGATTTAGCAGCAATCATTTACATCTCTAATTTTCCTAAGTTTTAAAATTCCTGCTTCATCATTGCCAAATATTTTAACTGTTGATAATCAGTTCTTAATACCTCACCTCAAAAATCTCCAAATTCTAACCTTTTGGTATTTTCACATATTTCAATTTTAGACTTTTAACGGGGATCACATAGTGGAGGGAGTAAAAAATTAATTAAAATTAGGTCACTTTAGGACACGTAATACTAGGTGATTTTTATTGTTTATTTAGGGAGGGGTTTTTGTTAGTCCAAAGAATTTCATGCTTTTATAGAAAACATGGGGTACTACATGTGGAAAACTGTAGAAGACACAGTAATCTCACAAGTCAACAATCATCACTATTTATATTTTTACCTATTTGCTTCATGCCCATTATGTGCTTATTTAAAAACTGACACACTGCATATTTTGTGACTTGAGTTTTCCACTTAACATTGTAAATATTACTATTTCATCAGATATTCCTCAGATACAGTTTTTACTGATTCATAGTGATTATGTAGTTTGCCTTTGAAACATTTAGGATATTTACAGCTTTTCACTAGTTTAAATAGTCAACTTATAGAAGTATCTTTGCCTGCCTCATTTTTATCATGAAGTCATTTTATTAAGTGACTCTGTTTAGGGTCCCTGATAAATTATCCAAATTGTCCTCTGGAAGACTTGTCCTCCCACAAACTGATAACATCCATTTTGCCACATGTTCACAAATATATCACTTTTCATTATCTTTAACAATTATGTAAGCGAAAAGGCTTAAACTTTTTCTTTTGATCATCAATGTGGTTTATTTACTGTGGATTTTGTGTTCATGCTTCATTTGTTTTGTGGGAGGGGCTACTGTAAATGATTTGTAAGACATCTTTACACATTAAGAATAAATTGTCATATATTACAAAAAGAGTCATATGAATATTCCTAAAATTGATGTAATTAACTACTTTTCCCTTTTCTCCCCTTCTGTCAACTTACATGAAATACCACCCATGCTTCTTTGCAGGTGACTCTTGGGTGACTTAATATTTATTTTCATAAGTCATTAGCTTGCACTTCCTTAGTCCCTATTGAAATGTTAATCCTATTGAATATGCTGTCCTTTGGGAGGGAAGGAGTACACACACATCATCATGTGTATGTAGGTGAGGGATAGTTACACCCACTTTTTTCATTGTGTCTCACATAGAAAGACTGCAGTTTTCTTTGAATGAAATAATTCCTTTTGACAAGACTTGGATTTCCTTTATCCGCCCCCGTCCCACCACCACCACCCTGTGAATTGTCACCTCAGGGGCACCTGCACAGCTGAAAGAAGCAAAGGAAGTTGTTCTGGTTGCTTTGGCTGGTTCACTCTGGTTGTGTTGTAAACTCTGAGCCAGATAAAGATGTTGCCCAAAAGTCGGGATAATTAAGCGCCTGGGTGGGGTGCCTGAGGGATGTGGAGGAGCTGTGCCACTGGATTTAGGAGGCAGTAGCTAGAGAGATGCTCTTCAGAAGAGTTGTCCTTGCGTGTTGTCAGTAGCATCCCCATTTCAGAAACAACATCTAGCATATCTACACTGCCTGCTCCAGTTATAGAATAAAGATTTTATGGAACTTTCTTCAAATCTGTTTGGTCTACTGAGGCACTTTGCATACAGTATTGCATGTATAGTGATAATTGTTTTATTTTTTTCCATTTTCTTCATTCCTCTGTTATTCTTCTATTATGTTTTACCCTGTAGACAAGCAAATTCTTCTAAAAGCAGGCTCATAGAGTTTGAAAGGTAAGAATTTTCAGAAGGTCTACTATGTAGGCAAGCAAGACTCCATCTAAATTCTGAGTCAGGTGAGGATCTGAACTGGTTTTAAGGACCATAAAGAAAATAAGATAAATTTTAATCAGAGCAGTTTCAGTGTTTCATGAAGACTTGTATTATAAATGACTTGTACATGGCAGTCTGTCTTTTTTTCTCCTCACATTAAGATCACTTAGATAATTTCCATACTCTAATGTTTTAAAAATTTATCTGGTGTTGAAGATACTTAGGTCTTTTACCTGCTGAAAAAATACGTTAAGAAAACTGTATTCCTGATGTAAGTTTTCTCTAAAATGGTAACATGATCTTTTCTCTGAGGGTAATATGAGTTCTGCCTTTGCTGACACCTGATTCATTTTCTGGGTCACTGCAACTTCAGATCTTCTCTATTGCAGGCAGTTATTACGTCTTCAGTAGCAACTTAAAAAAAGAAAAACTTACAGCTTTTACATCACAAAAGGAGAGAAATTAACAATAAATTTCAGTCCTCGCTTCAGTGTCCTGGGCCACAGGGTGTTTCAGAACTGGTTTTATTACAAACCGTGGTGGTAGTGGTCCTCCTTAGTTAATAGTCCTCTTTAACTTTGTTTACCTTTCCTTTAGATTTCTTAGTCACATTCCTGGTGACCGTCTGTAAGACTTTATATATGTTGTTTGCATTGAAAATGGAAAATGCCACCCAATCTGAAGAACTTTATGAGTTTTTGTGCAGGCATCTTCCTCTCTTTTCTGTATCTTAAGGCAGAATGGTTGCCCTTCTCACCAAATTTCCAATTTCATTAATTGTTTTATTAGGAAAGTATTAAGTTAATGGTTTCAAAGCCATGCACATTATTGAAATTCTTAGTCTTTGTTCTTCCATCCTTTTTTTAAGTTTAGTTGAGGGTACTCTTTAAGATTCCACCTTTATAAAATACAAAATCTATAAGAATGGTGTCTCCAAACTGCCTCAGTGTTTCTTCTCTGATCCACATGTTCTTAAAAGATTATCTCAGAAAGGCTACAAATTATGTAAGTCACTGCCCCCAGAACTTTAACCCTGTTTTAAATCACCATTGTGTTTTATATATGGCCATATACAGTCAACTTGTGGTTATGGTATAAATTCCCTACCTAATACTATTGAACAGACTGAATTCAGTGAAAATTGAAACTTAATCTAGAGCAAAGAGCTTACCTTACATTAGTGTGTACTGACTCTATGCACTTTTTGGCTCCTCATAGGAGACCCCTATGCTTACCAGAATAGAAAAACAGAAGCGCAAAGAGGAGGAGGAAGAACGGCAGATTCTTCTGGCAGTGCAGAAGAAGGAGCAGGAGCAGATGCTCAAGGAAGAGCGGAAACGAGAGTTGGAGGAAAAGGTCAAGGCAGTGGAAGGTACGTGGGCTTTCTGTGCAGTCTAGAGGCAGACGTGCTACGGGGGATGGTCCTCCCACAGCCAAAGCCAAGTCGAACTAGGTTCTGTCCTTGTCTAAGTTGTTTCTGGCGACCACTTCTTAAATATCCTATACCTTGTTCTGTCCTGCTTACGCATTCACTCACCGGGCTCTGCCTCCCTGCCTTTGCACTCCTGCCAGAACACAGGTGCCTGTCGCCCGTGGGGGCTCTGAGCATCATTTCCCCTCAGAAGGAACAAGGACTGGAGAAACAGCAGGTTCCAGGACTGGGCAGTAAAAACAGGAGGTGGGCCTAGACTGTTTAATAACAGAAAGTAAGGAGACCTGGACGTCTATCAGAAAATACAAGCGCCAACCAGAAAGGACTCTGACTGGCCAAAATGGGACATTTTGAGCATTTACAAAAAGAAAACAAAAACCCCAATAGATTTTAAAAACATCAAACAAATTAAAAATTCATGAGTTCATAATGGTATTTTTTAAAAACCTGTGATCACTTTAGGAGTTTAGTGAGAGAACAACTTGTTATTCTGAAAACTGTCATGAAGGGAAAAAAAGAAGCATTTTGTTTCTTTCTCTTGACAGACTATATTTCAGAATGTAAATAATTGATGAGGAGAAGCAGAATTTGGTCAATAAATGATAGCAGGAATAATAGAGTAACCAGTAATGGAAAAAGTGAATCTAGGGAAAGCTTTTCTCAACCAAAATTTCAGGTATTAAGCCCTAATATCCTAAAGTAGAGATCAACTAATTTCTGTAAGGGTCAGATACTAAATATGTTCAGCTTGGAGGCCCATACAGGGCTGTGTTCCATAAAACTGTGTTAATACTAAGCAGTCAGTGAGCTGTGCTACGTGCTATGGTTTGCTGTTTGCAAAACCCCTGCCCTAAAGCATCCATGGTATATAATGAATTAACTTGTCTCCATGGGTACTAGATATGTACCTTGGAATTATTGAGGAAATAGTCATAAGTCATTTTTCTGTGCATCTTACTTCAGTCTTGAAACTCAAGCTAATTATTAGGTGAAAGACTGATGAAGAACTTTATAATGAAAGACCAGGTTGCTATGATGAAATGTATCACAAAAAGAGAGAACCAGATCCTTTATCCACTGGTGTGTTGAAAAAGGTGGTACACAGCATCAACTATGAAGTGCTGTTGTCCCAAACATCAAACCTGCCTGTCTCGTAAAGCCTCTAGAAGGAACAGAGAACTCAAGAGGTAAAAGAACATGTTAGCACCACAGTGCAGGTGCCATCAGCTAGACACAGAATGTGAGGAATTCTGGAAAGACAAAAGGGGACCTAGTTTCTCCAGATAATAAATTGGAGGGGACATTGTTAGGAATTCAACTTGACTTTAGAGATACATAAAGCAGGTGCAGTGTATGGGCCTTTATGGAATTGTCTTGAACAAACCAACTTTTAAAAAAAATACTGAACAAGTGGGGATTTGACCCTGACTCAGTTTTTGATATTAAATAAAGCATGTTCCTAAAATTCATACCGAAGAGCAAAGGGCCAAGGATAGCCAAGATAAGTCCTAAAAACATGGTAAGGGCACTCGTTCTGTAAGAGAACAAAATAAAAGCTACAGTGACTGAGAAAGAATGGAATTGGCCTAGAGAGAAGTGGTGGGACCGGTGAACAGGAGTCCCCAGGAACAGACCAAGGAAAGCATGGGCTCTTCAGGAAACAGTCAATACAGGTGCTCACTGTAGGGGACATTACATCCCTGCTTCTTGTAAGAGACTTCCAGGTAGACTAGAGGCCAAACCATTCTAAAGAAAATTTAGGTGAATATCTTCAAGATGTCAAGATAAAAGTGAATTTATCCAAGTACGAAAAGCACAAATTGCAAAGGGAGCAAGATAGATTTGACTGCATTAATTGCTTACGACTTAACATATGACAAAACCACTGTGAAAATGAAAAGACATGTCAGAGGGAGACGAGAGTCATGACACAGTCGCTAAAGGTTTCTCGTGTTACCTGAATTCTTTAAAGCACTTCAGAGATACAACAACCCACAGGAAAAGAGGGTAAAGTATTTAAGCAGAAAACTCACAAAGGGGGATTCCGAATGGCCAGTAGGTGCAAGAATATGTTCAGTAATCATGCCAGTCAGGAAAATATACATGAAAACATCCAAGTTATATGTCAAACGTACCATTTTGGCAAAAATTCTAGTTCTTTATCTTACCAAGTAAGTATGAGGTAACTGAACTAGCTATGAAAGGGTAGCTATTTAAAATACTTTTATTCCAAATAATCCCTTTGGAAAGTATATTGACAATGCCTGGGAAAGTTAACATATATTCACTCCTTTCTGGCAGTTGTTCTGCTCTGTTTATATCCAAGGGAACTCTCATACATCTGGATAAGAATAAATGTTAAAATAATGGCCATCATAATACTGTTTACAAGATGCAAAAAATTTCAGTCAACTAGAAAATGGATTACTAAGCTGTGAAATACTGTGTTGAAGTTATTAATAATTCAAAATGTTAAAATTTGACAGGTACATGGGTATTTATTACTCTTTAAGCTTGAAATCATTCTTTTCTAATAAAGCAATATTTAAAGTTGATAGTAAAGTGCCTTGGATTAATTAAAGCATACATAGATTGCTCTTAAGTTTTTAAGTGAAATAATGTTGGAACAAAAACGTAAGTCAGATGAAACTTGAAAGGGAAAATACTGTTTCCAGGGCCTTGTCATCTTGTTCTTAGCAGGCGACAAATATGTCATCTGTTCCTCAGGAAAGAAAAGAAATCCGTTATGGCTTCTCCTTTCCATTGCTGAGTTTTCTGGTCTAACAGTGGTGTTCTTCATCTCCTGCCTCTTTATTCCTGACTTTGCTGTTCCCTGCTGGTAGTGCCCAATTAGGCTAGTAGTGGAATGCTAAGTGTGTTTGCATGGCTGTGAGCTAGAAAAATATCCTTGCTCCTTGCCAGTTTCAACTGGCATCTTTCCCTTGCTCCCGCTCCCAGTCAGACTTATTACTACCACTGGCTTGGTAGATAGGGACCAGCTGCCAGTGGTGGGAGCAGATTGAAGAGCAGAGACAATTTGTGTGTATGGATGTCTGTGTAAAACTTTGAGAGCTGGATGTGCATATAAAGTCCTGTGTGGAGAAGGCAAGTAGTGACTCTGTGGCATCTTACTATAATAATGGACAGGGACTGCAATGGGGTATGGGAGGGACTTGATAATATGGGTGAATGTAGTAACCACAATGTTTTTCATGTGAAACCTTCATAGAGTGTATATCAATGATAACTTAATAAAAAAAAACATTACTTTATGAGAAACTAAAAAATAATAATAATAAAATAAAGTCCTGTGTGTATTTGGATTGAGAGTCTGGTCTTTAAAGAAGGAATGTTCTTTTTTGAGAGATAGGAAAGGCCTCAGGATAATCATTCAGTCTTCTGTGTTTTCCTTCTTCTAACTCCATTTTTTTTTTTTTAGCCTTTCTCTCCCTCTGTACCCCCATGCCGGTGCCTGCCTGCCTTACTACTCTCAGCCCCCAGCATGAGCTGGATATGAGTAAAAGAAACAGGTCTAAGTGATTATATTTTTCATAAATCATCCCAGTTATGGTAATTATCCTAATAACCAAACAAGGATGGTGAAAGGACTTTTCGTGCCTGCTTTGGCAATCTTTGTTTCTTGTTCCCTGAAGATGATGAAGGAACATCTCATCATCTCGAACACATGGCTCACTCAGGCTGTAATGCTCTGTGTTCATTGTAGATCGAGCTAAGAGACGAAAGCTCAGGGAAGAAAGGGCATGGCTGCTGGCTCAAGGGAAGGAGCTCCCCCCAGAACTTTCCCATCTGGACCCTAATTCCCCAATGAGGGAAGAAAAAAAGACTAAAGACCTGTGAGTACTGAAGGATACCGACAATAGCAGCTAGTAAATTGATTAAGTGCTCAGGCATTACACTAAGCACTTTTCTCATTTAATTCCTAGAACAACCCTATGGGGTAGGTGAATATTCAGCATTCATGAGCTTCTCATTCTACTGCATGCTTTTGGATTGTTACTCTCTAGATCACAAACTATTCAGTATAGTAAAATAAAGCCTGGGAAATAATGTGCTATTAAGTAACGTTTTAGAATCATAAGTTAAGTTCTGGATCATCTAGGCCAACCCCATCATTTTATAGATTAGGAAAATGATATTCCCCTTTTTTTGCTAAGGTTTGCTAACTAACCCTCATCTTCATAATTACTTTCTGGAGTTTTATCAGTGTGACAGAGTTATCTTTTTTAAAATGTATTGGTTGGAACATAGACAGAGCTAGAGGGTATTATGCTCAATGAAATAAGCCAGGCAGAGAAAAACAAGTACCAAATGATTTCACTCAATCTGTGGAGTATAAAAACAGCAGAACTGAAGGAACGAAATAGCAGTAGACTTAGACACTGAGAAAAGACTGGTGGTTACCATGGGGAAGGGTTTGGGGCAGGTGGGTGGGGAGAGGGATAGAAGGATAAAGGGGCACAAAAATTCTCAATCATACTATAAGGTGGCCACAGGAATGGAAGTGCACCATGGAGAATATAGTGAGTAGTTTTGTAACATCTTTCTGTATTGACAGAGAGTAACTGCACACTAGTGGGGTAATCATGTGGTAACTGTTGAACCACTGTGTTGTACACCAATATTTTATATCTATATACTTCAGTTTTAAAAAAGTTTTCCAAATTTTGGTGCAGCAGGTATTTGTAATTGAATTAAGAGAGCTAAGGAGAGAAGGTGGTTAAAGTCACTATTAATTTCTTATTTTATGATTCACAGCTTTGAGTTGGATGATGATTTCACTGCCATGTATAAAGGTCAGTTCCTATTCTCAGTGCTTGTGTTTCTGATAGGCGTGTTCCTGTGTGAGTGTCTAATGAGGCTTTCCTTTTTGGCTCTCAGTTCTAGATGTGGTAAAGGCTCACAAGGACTCCTGGCCCTTTTTGGAACCAGTGGATGAATCATATGCCCCAAACTATTACCAGATTATTAAGGTAGAGGCTTGTTTGCAGTTATACCTATTATGGTAAATGTGCCTTTCTTGATTTTTGTTGTTTTTGTTTTGTTGTGGTTCATCTGTTGTCCCTTGAGAATCAGGGCTGCTAGATACAGACCAGTAGGCCAGGCTCTTGAGCATGTCATAGCATGGTTGCTTTGCCTCCTAAGGACTGCAAGATGTGTCTTCCCTAGTATGTTGTGATTTTTACCATGTCCTATTTTAGGTCCCAATGGATATCTCAAGCATGGAGAATAAGCTGAATGGAGGTTTATACTGTAGCAAGGAGCAATTTGTAAACGATATGAAGACTATGTTCAGGAATTGCCGAAAATACAATGGGGAGAGCAGTGGTAAGTGGTGGAGGAGTTTGCTCTGGATTCACATTTGCTGGACCGTCATAACCCAGAATAAGGTACCTTCCCTTTTAGAAACACACATGCTAGTAATTTAGCCCTTCTTTTGGAAGTTTAAAGAGAATGCGTGTAAAAAGCCATAGGATAGGCCATTCCAGCCACTTAATACACTGTGCACCAGGATTACTGTCCCCCATGTGATGCGGAGTGTGTCTGGCAGCTAGCTGGCCTCAGGTTATTTCTCATTACCTTAGAGACCAGTCTGGGTCTAGTTTATACTTTGCTCCGTAACACAGACCATTAACCATGGACACAGCTGAACCTAGATGGAGCTAACTCTTCAATCATCTTCCGAAGGCTGCAGTGTAGATCTCTGATAAACTACCTGTGGGTCTGAGCTACTTATGCATTAGCTCAAAATGCCTTAGTTTAAAAACTAAGCAGATACGGTTATTGTATTTACTATTTCTGCAGTTAAGCCTTAAACTAAATTTTTACTGGTTTGATGTATTAGTCCCAGTCACTCTACAGCCATTCAGCCTGGAGCCTCTTCAGACAGAAACCACATTTTCATCCTGTGTCCATAGCTCTGCGTCATAATATTCCTTCACATTGAATTAAACTCAGTTTTACCCAAGTAGCATCTTTCATTGTTTATTAGTAAGAGATTTGTCTTTGTGGCTGGGAAAGCTATGCCAGGAGTCACTCTTGTATCTTCTCATAGAATATACTAAGATGTCTGATAATCTGGAGAGATGTTTCCATCGGGCAATGATGAAGCATTTTCCTGGGGAAGATGGAGACACAGATGAAGAATTTTGGGTCAGAGAGGATGAAAAACGGGAGAAGAGACGGAGTCGGGCAGGGAGGAGTGGCGGAAGCCATGTTTGGACCCGCAGCAGGGACCCGGAGGGCCCTGGCAGGAAACAGCAGCCGGCAGAGAACGGAGGAAAGGCGTTGCCACCTGCGCGTCGTGTAGCCACTTCTAGGGAGGACCAGCATGGCACCCCGCAGCTCCCTCGGGAGGTGGGCCCCAAGGGTGGAGGCTTTTCTCATCCTCTGCACTCTGGTGGGATGCCCAGCCAGGCACCGGGGTTAAACCAGATGGTAAGGAATGACTTAAAATCTGCTCTGGTTTCTCTTAGTTGGTGAATTCAAAGGGAAGTAAAATTAAACCTTGATAAGTGGCTCTTCTTCCAGATAGCTCATCTGTCCATTTTAAATTCTTCTTTCTCTTAATCATTTTAACCTTGCAGTCCCAATATAGGCAACAATTGGGACAAAAAAACCTCTTTTCATGTTGAAAGCACAGAGGTACATAGTACATAAAATAATACAGCATATCATGGTATTAAAATTCATTGGAGGGGCAATTGGGGAAGAATTGACTAAAAAGGCTCTTGGAGGGAGGAGGCAGTAAGGAAAATGATTTTAGTCCAATTTTTGTGTCCTGGAGAGGGGACTGCTCTGGGTGAGGCACTATGCTGTGGGCAGAGCACATGCCTGTGTAGCACGCAGCCCTGCTGAGCCATGCATGCATGGCCCGCGTTAGGTCAGCAGTACACTCATCTTCAGGAAAGTCCTTATATTCTACCTAAAGTCTGTGCTTTCTCTCTTTTCCCTCTAGAGGCCAGCAGTACCAGGAACATTTGGTCCTCTTCGAGGATCAGATCCTGCCCGCTTCCACATCTCCTCCAGAGTGCCAGAACCTCGCCCTGGGGAGCCTGTTCAGCAGCATCCGCCTTTGGCCATGCAGGTGAGCAGTGTGCTCAGAACACACAAGTATAGGAGGTCTCACGGGGAAGTCTCAAAAATAAAAGCTCTCCCAGGTCAAATTTAATTCATTATCTTTTATTCTGTAGACTCTCTTTACTGTAGATTAAGCACATTATAAAGTATGTCTTACTCTGTGGGTCCGGTGAACTCTGTACTTTATTTTCTTTTCTGGTTGCCAGCCTCCAGTTGGAATTAACAACCACCGAGGACCCAGGCTAGGAATGACTGAAGAGAAGCAAGTGTGTGGGGGGCTGACACACCTTGCTAACCTGGGCTCACATCCTGGATCCTTGCCCCTGAGGCAGATGAGTGGCCCCAGTCAGGATGGAAATTTGTATCCCCCAGCTCAATTCCAGCCGAGGTTTATTCCTCCCAGGCATGGTGGGGCTCCAGCCCGAACCCCAGACTTTGCTGAAAGCTCAGAAATTCCTTCTGGCCACATGTACCAATCATACAAGTACCTAAATCGTGTGCAGTCTGCTGTCTGGAATGGGAACCATGGTGCTACAAACTCAGGATCCTTGGGGCCAGATGAGAAGCCCCCCATGGGGCCAGGACCCTCTCACCACCCTCACACTCTCGGTCACATGATGGATTCCCGGGTGATGAGACCACCTCTCCCCACAAACCAGTGGATGGAACAATCAAGCTTTCTACCTCATGGAGTTACTTCTTCAGGGTATATGCGACCACCCTGTAAGTCCGGTGGACATAGGTTACAGGCACCTTCAGCCCCAGTGCCGAGCTCTCTGTTTGGAGCACCCGCCCAGGCTCTGCGGGGGGCGCCAGGAGGGGACTCCATGATGGACAGCCCAGAGATGATCGCCATGCAACAGCTCTCCTCCCGCGTCTGCCCACCAGGTGTGCCTTACCACCCCCAGCAGCCAACTGCCCCGCATCTACCTGGCCCTTTCCCGCAGGTGGGTCACTCAGCCTCAGGGCGTGTGTCAGCCCCCACGCCTGCCTTGGAGAACACTGGGACAAGGACGCAGGATAACCCCGAGACACCAGAGCCTGAGGATGACCAAGGTAATGTACACAGTCACTCACCTGACTCCTGGCCTTGAAGCTGCTGATTCTTGGGTAATCTTCTTACACAGAAAAGCAAACTAAGTGTAAACTGGTTTCCAGCCCCTTTTTCTTGAACTACTCAGGGTTGGAGCAGTCATACTATTGTTTTTGGTCCAAAGATCCAAAAAAGTGCTGTTGTTCACTGCACAGACTTCGTGCTTCCTGTACCAGGTACTGTTTTCAGGTCTGGTACATAGATTAACTCAGTTAATTCTCAGAGCAAGCCTTTGAGATTGGAAGTAGCTACTATTCCTGTCCTTGTTTTTGCTGGATGAGAAAACCCAATGGCAGATGTCCTGAAGGATCTGTTCTTATCTTGTCAGTAAGCAGTGGGACTCATATTTGAACCCAGACCCCACCCAGCATGTGTGCTCCCAGCTGCCACACGATTAGACTGCCAGCCAGACTCTGCCTTCAATGCTGTCATTATGAAAGGAGTTCTCAGTATTTTACTTAGAGTCTACGTATTTCCATCATTCTATTCCTTGGATCCATACCTTTATCTACTAAAAATGAAAAATAGTGTGGTCTAGTGAATCCTTTATTATTATCATTATTATTATTATTATTATTATTATTATTATTATTATTAAGGTATCATTGATATACACTCTTCTGAAGGTTTCACATGGAAAACGTGGTTACCACATGCACCCATATTATCAAGTGCCCCCCCAAACCCCATTGCAGTCACTGTCCATCAGTGTAGTAAGATGCCACAGAGTCATTACTTGTCTTCTCTCTGCTACACTGCCGCCTTCCCTGTGACCCACCCCATTAGACAATGTGTACTAATCATAATACCCCTCAATTCCCTTCTCCCTCCCACACACCCTCCCACACCTCTCCCCTTTGGTAACTGGTAGTCCCTTTTTGGAGTCTGTGAGTCTGCTGCTGTTTTGTTCCTTCAGTTTTCCTTCATTGTTATACTCCACAAATGAGGGAAATTATTTGGTACTTTTCTTTCTCCACCTGGCTTATTTCCCTGAACGTAATACCCTCTAGCTCCATCCATTTTGTTGCAAATGGTAGCATTTGTTTTCTTCTTATGGCTGAATAGTATTCCATTGTGTATATGTACCACATCTTCTTTATCCATTCATTTACTGATGAACACGTAGGTGGCTTCTATATCTTGGCTTTTGTAAATAGTGCTGCAATAAATATAGGGGTGCATATGTCTTTTTGAATCTGAGAGGTTGTTTTCTTTGGGTAAATTCCTAGGAGTGGAATTCCTGGGGCAAATGGTATTTCTATTTTTAGTTTTTTGAGGAACCCTCTATATTGCTTTCCACAATGGTTGAACTAGTTATATTCCCACCAGCAGTGTAGGAGGGTTCCCTTTTCTCTGCATCCTCACCAGCATTTGTTGTTCCTTGTCTTTTCGATGTTAGCCATCCTAATTGATGTGAGGTGATATCTCATTGTGGTTTTGATTTGCATTTCCCTGATAATTAGCGATGTGGAGCATCTTTTCATGTGCATGTTGGCCATCTGAATTTCTTCTTTGGAGAAGTGTCTGTTCAGATCCTCTGCTCATTTTTTAATAGGGTTATTTGCTTTTTGGGTGTTGAGGCATGTGAGTTCTTTATATTTTTTGGATGTTAACCCCTTCTCGGGTATGTCATTTACAAATATATTCTCCCATGCAGTAGGATGCCTTTTTCTACTGATGGTGTCCTTTGCTATACAGAAGCTTTTTAGCTTGATGTAGTCCCATTTGTTCACTTTTACTTTTGTTCCCCTTGCCTGAGGAGATGTGTTCAAGAGAAAGTTGCTCATACTTATATTTAAGAGATTTATGCCTGTGTTTTCTTGAGTTTTATGGTTTCATGATTTACATTCAGGTCTTTGATCCATTTCAAGTTTACTTTTGTGTACGGAGTTACACAATAATCCAGTTTCATTCTATTGCATGTAGCTGTCCAGTGTAGCCAACACCAGTTGTTGAAGAGGCTGTCATTTCCCCATTGTATATCCATGGCTCCTTTATCATATATTAATTGACCATATATGCTTGGATTTATATCTGGGCTCTCTATTCTGTTCCCTTGATCTATAGATCTCTTCTTGTGTCAGTAACAAATTGTCTTGATTACTGTGACATTGTAGTAGAGCTTGAAGTTGGGGAGCAAATCCCCCAGCTTTATTCTTCTGAGGATTGCTTTGGTTATGTGGGGTTTTTGTGGTTCCATATGAATTTTACAACTATTTGCTGTAGTTTGTTGAAGAATGTTATTGCTGTTTTGATAGGGATTGCATTGAATCCCTATATTGCTTTAGGCAGGATGGCCATTTTAACAATATTAATCCTTCCTGTTCATGAGCATGGAATGTATTTCCATTTATTGGTATCTTGAATTTCTCTCATGAGTGTCTTGTAGTTTTCAGGGTATAGGTCTTTCATCAACTTGGTTAGGTTTATTCCTAGGTATTTTATTCTTTTTGATGCAGTTGTGAATGGAATTGTTTTTTTGATTGCTCTTTCTGCTAGTCTATCAGTAGTATATAGGAATGCAACAGATTTTTGTGTATTTTGTATCCTACAACTTTGCCAAATTCAGATATTCTAGTAGTTTTGGAGTGGATTCTTTAGGGTTTTTGATGTACAATATCATGTCATCTATGAACAGGGACAGTTTAACTTCTTCTTTGCCAATCTGGATGCCTTTTATTTCTTCGTGTTGTTTGTCTGATTGCCATGGCTAGGACCTCCAGAACTATGTTGAATAAAAATGAGGCGAGTCTGCATCCTTGTCTTGTTCCTGATAGTAGAGGAAAAGCTTTCAGCCTTTCATTGTTAAGTAGGATGTTTGCCGTGGGTTTGTCATATTTGACCATTATTCTGTTGATGTACTTGCCCTCTATACCCATTTTGTTGAGAGTTCTTAATCATGAGCAGATGTTGAATTTTGTTGAATCCTTTTTCAGCATCTATGGAGATGATCATGTGATTTTTGTCCTTTTTATTGATGTGTAGTGGATAATGTTGATGGATTTTCGATTGTTGTACCCTCCTTGCATCCCTGAGCTGAATTCCACTTGATCATGGTGTATAATCCTCTTGATGTGTTTTTGAATTTGGTTTGCTAATATTTTGTTGAGTATTTTTGTGTCTGTGTTCATCAGGGATATTGGTCTGTAGTTTTCTTTTTGTGGGGTCTTTGCCTGGTATTAGAGTGATGCTGGCTTCATAGAGTGAGTTTGGAAGTAGTCGCTTCTCTCCTATTTTTTGGAAAACCTTAAGGAGAGTGGGTATTAGGTCATCTCTAAATTTCTAATCAAATTCAGCGGTGAATGCATCTGGTCCAAAAGTTTTGTTCTTAGGTAGATTTTTGATTACTAATTCAATTTCATTACTGGTAATAGGTCTGTTCAGATATTTCTGTTTCTTACTGGGTCAGTCTGGGAAGGTTATATTTTTCTAAAAATTCCATTTCTTCTAGGTTCTCTACTTTGTTAGCATATAATTTTTATAGGATTCTCTAATAAATCTTCGTATTTCTGTAGTGATTTTTCCTTTCTCATTTCTGGTTCTGTTTATGCATGTAGACTTTCTTTTTTTCTTGATAAGTTTGGCTAGGGGTTTATCCATTTCCTTAATTTTCTCGAACAACCAGCTCCTGCTTTCATTGATTCTATTTTATTCTTTTTGATTTTTTTATTTCTGCTCTAATATTTATTATGTCCTCATTTGTTCTTTTTCTAGTCTCATTATTGTGAGTTTAGACTGCTCATATGGGAGCACTCCTGAGGTGTACCTGTAGTGCAGTATATTTTCCTCTTAGCACAGCGTTCTTTGCATCCCACAGATTTTGCAGTTTTGAATTATTGTTGTCCTTTGTCTCCATATATTACTTGATCTCTTTTTATTTGGTCATTGATCCATTGATTATTTAGGAGCATTTTGTGAAGCCTCCATGTGTTTGTGGGATTTTTCATTTTCTTTGTGTAATTTATTCTAGTTTCATACCTTTGTGGTCTGAGAAGTTGATTGGTACAATTTTAATCTTTTGAATTTACTGAGGCTCTTTTTTTTTTTTTTTTTTTTATTTTT